ACGAGAGCAGCTCTGCTGGATTTCCTACATGGACTGACGCTTTATTATCGCTATCGAGACTAGTTTTTACATCTGTTTCATTGTAAACGTACAAATTTCATTGTGGACAATATTCTGTGGAGGATTACCGTGTTGTTAATGGACCACTGCGTCCTGATTCTTGCGGTTGGTTCTTCCTCGCTCCACGTTTCGTGTTTTGTATCGGTTCCATGTCACTGCCGTGCCTTTCTTCCTCCCACGCTCTACGAGGATTCACACATATACACAAAAAAAATCCAGCTGTGCTCCACGTTTTGTATCAGACTGGGACATAACCACCCACACCTCGCTCTTCTTTTGATCTCACACCAAAATACAAAATAATTGTGTATTATGTGGTTGGTTGTGAGGATCAGTGAACTCTTAATGTGGACAGAAATGTCTTCACATTTGATTTTTGGTCCCTGATTCCAGGATGGTGCCCATTTTATTTATGATTTATTTATATTAAAGTCAATATTTATAGTTAATACGTTAATATTTCTAAAAAACATTAATAATTAGCTTATAATCAAACCTGCCTCTACATTGGCGCCAACTTAGAAACCCAAAATATCTCCTGCCACTTCACAAAAATATGAAGTGACCAGTTTCTCACTGGGAGCCTGCGGCCGCCAGTCATGTTGAACGGCTATTTGGGCTTAACTTTTAGGTTTTTAAAATAAGCTCAACTTTGTTTCTTTTCTCTCCGTCTTTAATGCATCTTTCAGCCGGTTTGCCAACCGCTAATAAACACTAAAGAAGAAGAAAAATGGAACTCTCCTTCTTTGTCGTCGTGATAGGAGGCTGTTGTCTTGTCTGTGTTGTTTAACTGGCGCCCCCTCAGCGAGCGAGCTTGCTTGCTGACTAACCAGCTGATGTTATGGACATAACGTTGTTTACATGGAGAGGTAAACCTCACAGAGAGAAGCAGCGTCAGATAGTGAACCAAGTGTTTCAGGTTTGTGAGTCCGCAGCTGTAACACTTGAGTTCAGTGACTGTATTGCTGGCTAGTTAGATGTTATTAGGTGAAATTATCTCGCTATTAGAGATGTTCGGCTGATTCTGAGGCTTGTTTCCTTCCTGTGAAGCTGCACAGTTTCAGTAAATTGTGTCTGAGCTTGTCTCAAATGATCATTTTCCAGCTGATCTCTGCACATTAGTGGGATAAGAAGAGAGAATAATTGAGAAATATGGCGATAAAGATTAGAAAGTATGATTACATTTCCTCCTGATGACAAATATACCAAGTAGCCTATAGATGCATCTGCTGTAAAATAATTGAATAAATTGGAAAAGTTCATTTTCTTCCATAATTTAATTCAAATATATACGCTTATAAATATTTCAAGCCTTTTTTCGGTTTAATCTGGATGTGTCGGGTTTACAGCTCATAGAATCAAAACTATAGTAACCCAAAATTTATTAGAATTTCAGAATAAATTATTATACAGAAATGTCGACCTGAGAAGAGCTCTCTTATCAGCTAATTGACTCAAAACACCTGCAAGAGTCTTTAATCTCTCACTCTGGTTCTGGTGCTCACAATTAACTTTTCCACCATATTCAAAAAAAAAATTCAGATTTTAGATGCTCCTGTACTAATGTTACAAAAGCAATAATTGTCTAATTTAATGAATATCCCTGTCCAATCACATCACATGTCTGAATCTCATAAATACAAAAACCTTTTTGACTAAAATTATTAGTATCAGCGAGTTATGGTGGCATTTCAGTCCCAGTCTAAAAGTGTTGCTATAAGTCTTACACGTCACAAGATGCAGCTGTGTTTGCTTAGCTTAAAGCTTCATAATGCTTCATCCACTCATCACTACTCGCTAGCTAATGTCAGCTGATTTGACTGTGTTTGAGGGACTATTTTGTCCCACAGATGAGTTAGAGGAGGAAGGACAGGCATCACAGCGAGGGACAGTAGCTGGATTAACTGCATATTGGTGATCCAGGGACTCCAGAAGAAGTTGCAGGTGTAAGCAGGTGAAATGAAGGAGGGACAAGAGATGAAAATGTGTTTAGAAGGAAAGAGTGAATAGAAAATCAGTAAAGGAGCTCAGATGCCAGAAGTAAATGTAAGAGAATAAGAAACGGGGAGAACGTCTGGTTCAGAGGAGTCCATGAAGTCTTCCAGAAGATCCAATGTGATCATTAGAAGGCAGTTTAAATACTGGGGTCAGCCAACAGCACACGAACCGTTCAGGACGCCGCTTTTTATGTGGCCTAATGGCAAAACACCATAAAAATAACTGAGCGTTCAAACGGCGCTTTTTATGCTGTTTTTTAATAAAACGGGCTAGGAAAGTGGCATGTTGTGATGTTTTTGGCGTTCCATATATGTTAGTATCGCCTCAACTCGCTTGGAACCTCAACGGAAGTGATACAAAAAAAAGTGCCGAGTAGCAGGTACAACTTTTCCCTAATGGAAAACCTAAAAAGGCGAGTCGGGCTGGTACTGTGCAGTGGAACGTCTGGTGTGGAGGGTTTATATCCTGAACCAGAAAACTTCCAATAAATAAAACATTGAATAAATTAGTAACTAAAGCTGTCAGATAAATGTAGTGAAGTAAAAGTACAATATTTCCCTCTGAGAAGTGGAGCAGAAGTAGAAAGTAAAGTACAAGTACCTGAGTGTTGTACTTGAGTACAGCAGTGTAGTAAATGCAGCTGTTGTGTTAATGTGAATGTTTTGTGAGGAGCTCTCCAGTTTGTCCTGAGGGCCGAACAGACTGACAGTGACAGGAAGCAGCCAGCAGGAGGCAGCAGAGGAGCTTCAGTTGGTTCAACAGATGATAGTTTTCACTTTAAAGTCACTGGAGGAGCAAACTGTGTGCAGAGGGTTTGTGTCCTGTTACCTTTAATAGAAACAACCAGTCCTGCTATAATGGAAGATCAGCAGCCCAGTAAGGTTGTTGTTATTTCATTAAACAACAGTTTATTATGGAATAAACAGCATGTGAGCAAAAATATTAAAGCTGTGTAATAACAATAAAGATCATTCAAACCTCATCAGAACAGCTGACTTCAGTAAAATCATCACAGCAGTCTGATGGCGCTAAACCAACTTCAACAAATTATTTTGGTTAGATTTAAATATTTCTTTAAGACGCTGACTGGTTCAGCTATTAATTTATGAAAAAGTGACATATTTTATTTTAAGATTGATATTGATTGTTGTAATAATATATTTTAAGAATAGGCACTAGGAATGAGTATCGCTACTCGATACCTTTATGGTGTCGACCGAAACTGCCCGGTATCGAGTATCAAAACATCTCCTGTCAAACCAGTATCAATCGATAGTTTTTATAACCAAATTGCAGTGGGAAAAAAAGGACTATTTGTATGGTTTTGATTGCAGCTAAATGCGCAAGCAACACAAAAGTGCACGCCTTTTTTCCCCCTCGGTTATTCTGTGCACTTATTGTTGTTTGTGGTAGACATTGTCGAGACTTGTCTGTGGACTTAAAGCGAGACTCTACTCCACCATTCAGAAATGTACTGCAAGTCTGCCCTGCAGTTGGTTGTCACAGGTGGTAATGCATTAACTTGAACATTGTGGGTTATGTGCCTGCACCATAAACTGTATAAAAAGGTACTTTTAACAGCCTGCGGTATCTGGCATGTTCGTCACTGTTGCAAGTTTACCGCCACAAGCTTGTCTTTCTGTTGGTTTCATCTTCTGGTATCATTAAACTCTTCTCTGTACATTTTTATTTGCTGTTCACATCAATTGTCAGCTGATTTTACCCACGGAGCCTCCGGCTGCAGCTTCTTCAGGTGTAGCTGGGTTGATCGGCTGGACGTGCAGATTCTCTCCTTTGTATGATGTCTATGAAGATTCTCAGTCATCCAGGTCATAGTTATCCAACGAAGGTTAAAATGAAGGGCAACTGGACTTGGTTGAAGCTACTGGAAGACGTTTCGTCCCTTATCCAAAGGACTTCTTCAGTTCTGACTGACTGGCAGGGAAACTCAGCTATTTAACCTCAGTATATATATATATAACCTCAATAACGACCCCACTGAGGTTAAATAGCTGAGTTTCCCTGCCAGTCAGTCAGAACTGAAGAAGTCCTTTGGATAAGGGACGAAACGTCTTCCAGTAGCTTCAACCAAGTCCAGTTGCCCTTCATTTTAACCTTCGTTGGACTCCTTTGTATGGGAGTCTTTAGTCTAGTTTAGTGACTTGTTTAAACAGACTCACTCGTTTTCTACTTCTTACTGTCGTCTTTTTGGACGGTTTACGACTCGCCACTAAAGGAAAAAGAGATCTTTCAATTCACTTTATTGATCGAAAGTTTACAAACATTTCTGTTCTTTACTTTAAACAAAAGTATTAAAAAATGACCCTGAAGTCGTTTCCCACAACTCATTTGGTCACTAATCCTACCTGTGAGGATGACCTGTTTAGGATGAGAAACAGTTTCCCAATATTTTTAATTACAAATGGTCTTAAAAACAAACCACACATACAACATTTCAAAGTAGAAATCCAGCATTTTATTGTAGCATCATCTGGTCTGAAGAATAGTAAAGTGATTAAAACAGTTAAATATTTTTCTTTAATCCCTTTGTTGCTTGTTTGTGATCCCCCTGCGTATCTAGTTGTGTAATACTTTTGTTTTGGCTGAAGATTTTCGTGTGAGATTAAAAGATTCAATACAAATATTTTATTTTGTTTATCGGGCATTTTTTATTAAACACATTATTAGCTCTGTTGTTAACCTGTGAATGGTGATATAGAAATGTTAGTGTAGTTTCTTATTAGCTCTGTTGTTAACCTGTGAATGGTGATATAGAAATGTTAGTGTAGTTTCTTATTAGCTCTGTTGTTAACCTGTGAATGGTGATATAGAAATGTTAGTGTAGTTTCGGGATTTAAAAATCCAACATGTTTACAGGCGAAGTCACACGGAACCCACGTTTGAAAGAAAGGTTCCCCATCGTGCAGCAAAGGCTGTTACACACCTTCAACAAGCAGCACTGGAGGAACCCGCTACCACTCCGGCCTCAGCGTGAACGCGCAAACGGAGAGGAATTACTTCCGGAAAGGCCCTCAGCCTGAAGAGCTCCGAGACCAGAATCCAGACTCAGTCCAGGACAACACGGTCCACCAGTCACAGCGGAGACCTGCAGGACGATGGAGAACCAGAACCCGGACCACATGAGCCAAACAGCAGCCTCGTGCTCTGATAGCGCCGATGTTCAGGTCAGTGTTCATGACTTCATCACGAGACTAAAGACACGAGGAAGAGTCTCGAGGGTCCGTGTATCATCCGTTCATTCTGTTGTTAGAGATCAGAGCCTGAAAACCCGCTCCAGGGTTTGTGTTGACGTGGTTTGATTTCCAAAGTGTCTCCGTGGTTCCTGTTTTCATCTTGAAGAGAGGAAGCTGAAAGAAAAACTCACGAGCGTTTCTCTTTTCTTTGTGCTGTGAGTTTTCAGTGCGGCGCGTGCCCGTGTTGTGTCGGGAGCGCGCTGGTGAAAAGTGAAGCAGAGTCATTATATTTCCTCGTGTGTTGGTGAGTTTATCACAGTGACAAACAGTCTGCCTGCGTTATTATTCTCTGAATGATCGTCGTGCAGGTTTCAGCTCTAAATAGTATCTGTGGAGATCAGAGTCTGTCTGGAGTTTAGTTTTCCTCCACTGTGCTCAGCTTTTCAACACATCCTCTGTTGAAGTTATTATTATTATTACTTATAGAGCGCTCCTCCTCTGTCCTTGTATTTAAGTGAGCAGATGGTCTCTTCACTTTTTGTCCTCACCAGAAAAAGATAAATGTTGGTTCCTGGACACAAACTGCAGTTGCTGTGGTCAAAGAGCCTTAATCAGTATTGTGCTTTGGGGCCCTCCTTCCTGACCCGTGAGCCATGTAAACAATGGAGAACTTTACAGTTCCTCATGACATGAGACATTAACGTTCATTATTAAAACTAAAAAGACATCTAGCGCTCCTCCAGTGATCACCTCAGCTTGAGTTCAATAAATAGGGGAGAGCCAGGACAAATGAAACACAGCGATTTTCTCTGAGCCCGTACACGTCTGATATGCCAAACTACCTCAGCACATTCAGTCCACAGTACTTAACAGAACAGGGAAAAATCAGGTGGATACGTCACACTTTCACAGAGTTATACGAAAGAAGCCGTTTTCAATCACAGAAAGTAAATTCACTCAAGCGATCTTTTTTTTTTGAATGCCGAGTTGTGTTTATTGTTCCACGTGTCCAGGTCATGATCACATGACAGAATAGTTAGTACTTTAACACATCCTGAACTTTTAAACGTCAAAGTTTTACAGTTTAGAAGCAAGTGAAGTTTAAACGTCAAGAGTCACTGTCACGCAGCCATTCTATCTTATTTAGATACGACGGGAGGGGGGGCAGAGTCCACCAGGCTGCAGGCTGGACCACCAGGATGCTCACAGCCAAATAACAGTATCTTCACACTAGACCAGGAAAACAAGCTGCAGATTTGCATAAAAACGGCAGCTGATATCTGATCCAAATGTGCATTAACTGTTAGATTCTCTAGTTAGTATAAATATTACATGGATAGCTATTTTTTATGAAGTAAAAGGACATAATTTGGCTAGCCTCCAACTCAACAATCATATAATAATACGAGCGGCCCCTCTCAACTTGGACTGATCTTCGTTTTTGCTGAATTCTGATTGGCTGAATGGCACCGATCGAAGGAGTTACTTTCCATCTGGGGCGAGTTCAGTCCAAAATTCACACCCTCCCTCCTCTGAAGGAGTAAGAAGGACTGGTACACATTTACACTGAGAATGCTGGGGACACATTTTGAAATGGTTGATTTTGTTCACATCACTTTTTGAAAGCATTTGTTAAAACAGTTCTGAAAAACAGCATCAAGAAATGTAAACTAACAAATGAAAATGCTTTGAGAAAAATATTAATTTGCACAAAAAGAAAACCTGCAACACAATTTAGTTTTCCCTCATATAAAAAAAGACATTTCCACCGTAAAAGTGGAGCAGAAAATGTCTCCAGAATGCAGGAAATTATGAGTTTAATGCTCAAAATCTTCTGAGGGAGGAGCCCCAGACCCCTCGCACATATACTGTATTTCAGCATCAAATATTTAATCTAAACCGTGCCAAAAATCTTCTTCTGGTCCATCATCACATCTCATGACCCAAATGTATCCTCCTTATGCCTCCACAACTTTTTAACACAAAGTCACGCCCTTGACTGACCCGCTCTGCAACAGCTCCTCTCTAGCAGACCTGCTTATACTCTCTGCTGATTGGTGAACACTTTTGCAAGGCATTGTATGCATGCTGCATTCTCATTAGGGGCTGAGCACCCCTAAAGGTCTGATCCTAGAATCGCCCCTGGTGCACACCACTTTCCTAAAGCATAATGTGTTAAAAACTTTCTGAAATATAGCTTGCAGTTAAATAACAAATGAAAATGCTTTTTAATAAGGTTTATTTGCACATTAAAATATAGAAGAAACAAATGTGCATCAGTGTTTCCAATTAATTAACGAGACCATGGCGGCCCGCCACAGTCTCAAAATGAACCTAAAATAGTTTTACACACATCTCATAATAATGTTTCAGACCTCTAACATTGTGTTTTGAGCTGCTGTAAACTCGCACACTTTGGCATCCGACTTGAGACAACTACTTTTCTTTTGAGGTAACTTCGGTAACGGTCTGTTTCTGTCACTCGTTTGTGAGAAGGCGATTAAGCTAGCCACGCCTACATTTGGAGCGCACACGTGTTAAGGATACACATGTGACAACGTCCGGTTTTCAAAATAAGCTGTCTATACAGGATGGAAATAAGATTAATTGGATTATATTCACAGAAAGTATACATGTGTCCATTTAAAGTAAAAAAACAACAATAAAATGTTAGGGAAATTACTTTACATTAAATACATTTATTGACTTTTGTTGGTGTTTCATCACCATTTAAAGCTCTACGATGGGTTTATGGTCAAATATTTTGTTAGAGCACAACATTGTTTACAAGTTCTCCATAGATAGCCTCTTAATGTTGCACCAAATTAATGCATTTAACTTTAAAATGTACAAAATTTTCTTCCAGCGGTTCGTACCCCTGGATCCCCCGAGGCCCACCCACCATCCTGTGGGAAACAGTGGTGCAGTTGGTGGTTCAGTTTGTAATATTTCTCAGGATCTATCGACAGAAATGCAATATAAGATCCATAACTATGTTTTCAGTGGTGTGTAAAGACCTTACATAATGAACCATTATGTTTTTATTACCTTAGAATGAGCCATTTATATCTACATATAAATGTACCATGGACGTCGGCACATTGCATCGTTATGTTTCTACAGCAGCTGGAAACGGACAAACACAGAGCGCGTTTCGTCACTACGTTATTCTTTTTGTACTTGTGGTAGAATTCAGGCAGTGCAGAGTCTGTTCACTGTGTTGAATACGTATGTTAGAACAAGAAGTAGTTATATATTTTCATCTTTTGTGCTGTGTCAGCCACCGTAGCTGTCCTGCGCTCTGTGAAAGGTTAGGGGGCAGTGGTAAACTGGACAGACGGTTGCAATTCACAACCCTCACCACTAGATGACACTAGATCTTACACACTGAACCTTTAAGCTAAAAAAAGCTAGTGATTATAAAATGACCCAAAAATCGCATGTAGTTTCTTTTTGGCCAAGTTTTCTGTTCTCTCCCTGTGAGGATGACAAAAGAGGAGGGAAGACTAAATCATGCCTACATGTGTGTTTCCTCAGTAAGGATGATATTACATGAGAAAAGTTGATTTACAGAAGAAACAGATCTGAAAGCAACACAGAATGCAGCTGCAGTTACTTACATCCTATCATATTGATATACTTTGAATTCGCACCTGCCACCTGAATATGTTTCCTTTTACATAAATAAAAAAAATTCCACCATAAATTGGTGCAGAAAAGTTCACCAGAATTCTGGAAATTAAGTATTTAATGAGCTAAATTTCCTGGGGTTGACTCATATTTCTCGGCATTAAAAATATCTTTAAAACACTTTTTAAGGATCTTTTTGTCTCGTTCCCGTGAACCTAACATCGCGTATCATGGTGTCCCGCGAACTATGTGTCTCTTCACAGCCGTAATCTGCTCCCACCTCTTTTCAACACAAAGTGATGCCCTTGGCTACTCAAAGGGTTACATTAATTGATGCGCTTACCGTGACTGATTTGTTTGGTTTAGAAAGAGTGCAAGGCGAGTCCAATCATCTGCTTTCTTCTCTACTACTATGAAACAGTTTATTTATTTCAAACAGAATAATGCTTGTATAAAAATTATCAAATAAAATCAAATACACGTCATTCATTTGATCTAGCTCTGACAGACAGCTTGTGCGCTTTTATTTTTTTAGGCATCAACGAAAACAACAACAGGGTGCAGGATGAGAGAAGTGTGGCAGAAGTTAACAGACGGAGAGCGATGGACTTCACATGAGAGTAGGGGTGGGCCATATGCCAAACATATCATATCACGATTTATTTCAGGCAGGATCACGATTAATTTTCCTGTTGGTTTTTAAGACTATTTTGCAAGTTATTGGTTTTAAAAGAGAAAAACAATACTCCTTTAGTAATTGTTTGCAATGTTGCCTAATGAGTTAGTTAAACAACAAAATACTGATTCATTTGTTCTTATAACATTTCGAAGATTTTAATAAATATTGTTTGATTTGATTTTGCCATAGATGAATGTGCTGTTTGCTTCTGCGTGTTTAAAAACATGACAACACGACCCGGTTCTGACTCGGCTAATAAAGGACAGCTAGCAGCACTGCTAACTGAGCTAACTAGCTACAGATACAGTTAGCGGTTTAGCGAAAAGTAAATGTATCTGTCCATCAACAAACTCTGTAAAACACATCGGTACTATATTCCCTGTCGGCCTCTGTGTTCGGTCCCGTTCATGCTGTGTTCACTGGGAGGCTGCTGAGCGCGGTGTCGTTGCCCGTAAATCCCAGAGCGTTGAGGCAGAAGAGCCGGGAGACACGGGGAACTTTTAATGTTAATTTTATGACCGCCGACAGTTACAGTGTTGCGTTTGTAGACCGCTGAGGACGCAAGCAGCTGACTTGCAATGTTGACGGAGCAGCTGTCAACTACGTGTATCAGCCATAGAACTAAAACTGATAAACTGTGCACTGTAGCACGATACTAACAATCTCTCTGAAAAGGCAGACCACGGTGACATTTTAATCATTCACAATCTAATATCGCAACATCGCCCACCCCTACATGGGGTAAAACCGTACAACATCCCTGCAGGTCGGAGGATGGTGTCAACCTGTAGTCAGCAGACATCGCCTTATATTCACGTCTGTGCTGGCTTGACCACTCCTCTCTTTATGGTGAACTTCTTATCCTCTGCTTCATCTGGTGGCCACTTACACGTATTGTTTTACCAAATTAACACTGTTCTCCGTCTCCAGCTATCATTCATTACTGTGTTGTTGACTTTCTATATTTTTACATTACTGGCTAAGAAGTCCTCCATTATATTTCAACTTTAGTCTCACCGTACTTTTTTAAAAGTTATACATGCGTAATTTGACACACAATATGTACTGCTGCATCTTTCACTAATGCTTGGTTTCTTACTGTAATCTTGATGTTGTGTTGGCTGCATCTGTCGCGTTTCTGCTCATCTATCTGTATCAAATTTGCAAAGCATCTGTCGCGTTCTAGTTCACCATCTATCTGATGTGTTTTTACACACCCAGTATCTGTTGGTTTTCTGTACAGCAAGTTCACTCAAAGTTCACACAGGCTGTAATAACCAGAGGTTGGAAGCTGAAACATGTAGTCTTAATATCAGCCGACTAACACATCAACAGTCCCTCATGTAGTCATGATAATAGTAGAACAGAGTGTGCACTGTCACAGCGTCAGCAGATTTTGACCACCTGCAGCCTCTCCTGCAGTCATAATTTACAGTAAATAACAGTTGAACAAGGAGTGCATAGTCACAGTGTCTGCTTGTTACTGTATTCATGACTACAGTCCAGCACTTCTATGTAGAAAATAAGTCACATCTAGGTAAAAATAATTGATGTGTGTTTTTTGTCTACACTGCTCCCCCTCTCTGTGTCCTAGGCATGCCCTCTGCTGATCATGCTATTTCAACCATAACCTGACTTTGTGCAGCTTGACGGGGCTTCCGTCAAAAATGGACTGGCAGTGAATATTGAACTTTAGCAAAACTTCAATAAAACAACGCTAATCGGGTCGTAATTGCAATATCTGGCAGAAAAATCACTGTTACATTTTTCCCCTCAAAATCGTTCAGCCCTATTCCACAGACATGCTCTAAATGTTGTCGCACATTGTGGAGCGAGCTAACTGTTGTCCTCTCTGTATGTCTGTCTGTCAATATAGAAACGGAGAGGAAGAGGTGGACACAAACGTCACCGCTGTCGGCTCTGTCACAAATCCTTCACAACATGTTGGTATTTGAAGATTCATCAGAGAGTTCACACTGGAGAGAAACCATATAAATGTGACCAATGTGGGAAAGCGTTCTCTCGATCAGGTGGACTAAATGTCCACCAACGTGTTCACAAAAAGCAACCGAACAGCTGTGACCAACGTAAGAAACTTTTCACTACTTTTAGGAACCTAAATGTCCACCGGCGTGTTCACACTGGAGAGAAACCTTACAGGTGTGACCAATGTAGGAAAGCTTTCATTACATCAAGTAGGCTAGAAATGCACAAACGTGTTCACACTGGAGAGAAACCGTACTGGTGTGACCAGTGTGGGAAAACTTACACTACTTTTAGGAACCTACAAGTCCACCAACGTATTCACACTGGAGAGAAACCATACATGTGTGACCACTGTGGGAAAACTTTCTCTACATCAGACGAAGTAAAAAAGCACTGTCGCGTTCACACTGGAGAGAAACCTCACAAGTGTGACCAATGTGGGAAAGCTTTCAGTGCATTAGGTAACCTCAAAGTCCACCAACGTGTTCACACTGGAGAGAAACCGTACTGGTGTGACCAATGTGGGAAAGCTTTTACTTCATTCGGTCACCTACATGTCCACCAACGTGTTCACACTGGAGATAAACCGTACTGGTGTGACCAATGTGGGAAAGTTTTCAGTACATCAAGTACGTTAAATACCCACCAACGTGTTCATACTGGAGATAGACCATACAGCTGTGGCTACTGTGAGAAAACCTTTACTCACTCTGGTACCCTGAAACGCCACCATCGTGTTCACACCGGGGATAGACCATACAGCTGTGGCCACTGTGAGAAAACCTTTACTCAGACTGGTGCCCTTAAACGCCACCAACGTGTTCACGCCGCTTCATTTTAAACTATCAGAGCCAAGAGAGCTGTTTTTCATTTCATCTCCTCGTGTTGTCTTATTAGCAAAGAATAAGCTCCCGACATGAGAGAAACTGGACTGTCTGTGTACATGCTTTAACTTACCCTGCTGCTCGTTAGTCCCATCCATGACGAAGATTCATGTCCATTAGCCATCTGGCAAGCCAAATCCAAATACTCAGCATTCGTGAATGGCAGTGCCCAGGGTCCCTGGAAGACTCATTATGAAAAAATATTGCGTCTCCAGCCGCTGCTCCTCGAGGCCCAGCCCAGCAGCCCACTCCACAGTGGATGATCATCCTGACAGCTTGTCCGGAGGCCTGTACCACAAAGCAGGATTTGAGCTTATCCAGGTAACTTCAGGGTTAACCCTGGGTTTTCTGTACCACAACCAGGATAGATCTCCATGGTAACTTATGCTGAACGGCTAACCGGAGCAGGTTATGTTCCAGATAAGAGATCAACTCAAAACACCGCCTACTGACCAATCAGCTCTCTTGGAAAAAGACATCACCATCTGTAGGAAATCCCACAGACTGTTTTAGAGGCTGCTTCATGTTTGCTGCGGTGATACAGAGAAACTTTTGTCTATAGCGATATCATCCTATAGAGACTGATTAAAAGCCGTAAGCCAGTGGTTGGCAATAGGCGGCCCGCGCCAGAACCTGGCCGCCAGCAATAATATATGTCCAGCAGCCAGATTGCTTTGATAGCAGAAAAATAAAAAATATAAATATCCGTTGTATGTTGGAATCGATCATACAACCCTCCCAACGGAAGTCCCATTCCTACCAATTGAGCTAAACATACGAATAGACATTTAAGGATTTGAAATAATTGGACTCTCTTCTGGCTCGCCATGTAACTGCTTGACAAAACTTTGGCCCGATGTCAGACTTATTTGCCTAACCCTGCCTTAGGCTTTTGTAGGCCTACAGGCTTTTACAGTAAGCCTACTAACTGCTTTGAAGTGTGTTTTTCATATTTTTTATTGCACCCCAGTCCGTTTTACACAGCCTGGAGCTCAGAGACGCTCTGCTGGAGCTACGGTGAGGAGCTCCCTAGCTCCCACTAGCTCTCACTTTTCAAGGTGAGTTGTTAATTTGTCACATCAATTACATGACTTAAATAATAATTAAAACAACCCTTATCACTTCTCCTCTCCTGAAAACATTCATACCAGACTTGCTAACCCTCCCGTTGTTCACTGCACTCTCCCAGGTCACTGCAGGATGTTTCATGTTACAGTAGGTGAGTGGTGGAGGCTAACGTTACGCTGACAGACATGATTGTAGATTTATTCTGAAACAAGGCGGCACTTAAAGTGAATGGTCCTCTCATTTCTCCCTAGTTCATTACTTCTAAATATAACGTTACAGCAGCTAACGCTGCCTGTTGCTAAATTAGCCACAAAGTCAATGCCATGTTTATCAGTGGAGGAGCACTAACGTTAATGAGCGATTAAACTATAGTTTATTAACTATAATCTAAATATCTGCAAGCTGCTTGTTTCTAGTTACAGTCGGCGTGTCAGAAATGATTAAACCAGAGCGGACTAGTGAATAAACGTGAGCTGTACAAGTGTCTAACACGGCTTCCTGCCTGACAAAGTTCTCTAACGTTACCTCTTCTTTTAAATGTGAAACGTTAGTGTGAAATCTCGAAGTTGCAGGTAGTAACTCAGTAATGAATTGGTAAAACAATACGTGTAAGTGGCCACCAGATGGAGCAGAGGATAAGAAGTTCACCATAAAGAGAGGAGTGGTCAAGCCAACACAGACGTGAATATAAGGCGATGTCTGCTGACCACAGGTCATTAGTATTAGCTTAATTAAACAGTCAATGTATCATAGACGATATGTTTTAGAAAGTAGTCATTGTGGCAGATTATATGTAAGGTAATAACTACTGCATGACAAAAAAAATTATATATAAATATAAAAAATGTTGTCGTCATTATTGTTATAGCAATAACATTAGATATGATTTATGGATATAAGGGTAATTTTTATATAGTTTCTATTTTCCTTGCCCCCACAATACACTTCTTTACTTTTATGTTCATTAGTAGTAGCATGCCATAATTTATAACAAATCATATCTTTTAGCATTTCTTTCTGTAGTTTTATTTGACTTTTATTTATCAAAAGCTTGATATATTTTGTTGTACTTTTGTTGAAAGTACTATTTATAATAATTTTTAAAAATCCCATATTGGTCTCTAGATTATGACTTCACACACAGGTCCATGAGTAAACTGATCTGTTTGACCCATATTTTCATCCTCAGTTATTGTGTAGTTTCCAAATTTATGCATTTGACTCACAACAGTTTAAAATAGCACTGTAGCAGCAGGACAGAGGGTCAGAGACCTTCTACGGGGAGAGCAGTGATTGGTGGTTATGTAGGGACTGAACCCTTCTATAGAATTTGACCTCTAACCCCTGTTTTTGTTACCTGAGAATAGTACTGTACCCTTCTATGGGTTTGACCTTTTATTTTGCAGACTCAAACCCCTCTATGGTACCTAACAGATACCTAAACATATCCTATAAGCGTTGTTTGACATACAGAGAGACCGACTGGCTGGGTCACTCCAACCTGCTGCAGAGCTTGTAATTGCTGGACTCTTGATTTAATAAACTTTTATGATCAAGAACAGTGTCAAGCGGGTTTCCTGTCAACACATCATCGCAGCATTATTGTTCGGACACCACAATTGCCACCTGCACTTTGTCCCACAGGTTATAGCTGAATAAATATTACTACCTATTTAAGAATCGATTGGAATATGATATTCATAGTTTTCAGTCATGTGACATGCGCGGTGACCTGGAGGCAAAATAAACGAACCAGATTC